CGCTCTCTCTGACTGCTGGTTGAGGAAGACGTGCTGCTGAAAGAGACACGGGCTCCCTAGACACGCGTTGCTGGGAAAGAGACGCAAGAGACACGCATTGCTGAGTGAGACACCGAGGGATCAGCACTGCTGAGAAAGACTGTGAGAGACTGTTGGCGGAGGGACGGTGGGCTGGGAGAGAGACTGAGCATTCTTCCTGAACTGGAATTGTAGCCTGTGGTGCTTCCCTAATAAACCCCATAACCTGTGAGCTCTGTGTGGCCACTGCAGTGAATTATCGAACCCAGGAGAAAGGTGATGGGTGCTTTGGGAGGAACGGTTGGAGGAAGGGCTGGAGGGAGGCAGCATGTTAGGCCTCGCAGGAATGGGCCTTGGGTTACTGCTGGTAATCCTGTCTTCCTCTTATAGGGCTACAGGAGGTCGGAACATGTGGCCTCCTTGCCCTTTTTGCAGTGACTTACCCAAAGTCACACAGTTCATTAGCAGCAGGGTCACAACTGGAACCGGGATTCCTACACAGCCATCTCAAGCTCTTTCCACCACACTTCAGCAGTGGTCTAGCACAGGGAGTCAAACTATAGGTAGAACTGAACATCTCAGCAAAGACCCTGCAATGACACCATGACCCAGAGAGATGAGGCTCTTTGACCTCCAAGAGGCAACTTCCAAAGGGCACAGAAGGGAAAAAAACAAAAGCAAATTTATACTCATAGAGAAACATAATCTGTGATTATAAATATTTCATGGGCAAAGGAAGCTGTACTGGCTGAGAGACTGGGGTGGGGAAAGTGGATAGCAAATTAGATTCCAGTTTGCAAAGTGATAGGGCAGCTGGAAAAAAAGCAAAGCTGAGGCTATTCTGGGCTGTGTGCTGAAGGCCTGCGTCACCGATGGAGTGTGGCTCTGGCCACCCGACTTTGTTGAAACCACAGGCCTCCAGTGGTCAGCTCAGAACACCTTGGGAGGAGTGGCTAAGTCCATGGAAGACCCAAGGAAGGGACAGCAAAGACAGAGAAGAGAGTCGTTTGAATGATTTAGGTAAACCTCAGAAGCAGGGAGGTGGGTGAAGGGATGCCGCAGAGGGCCAGCACCCAATAAGCACGTGAAAGGATGAAGACACTTGTGCTGACTAAGGGCCGAGGAAGAAGTAAGCCTGACCCCAGAAAGCAAATGACCCGAGAAGACAGGGCAGCTCAGGTCAAGCGGCTCAGGTCGGAGCAAATGCCCAACTCCAGAGCAGACAGTGTGGGTGCCGGGCTAGGAACAATTCGGCTTTTCACCTTCATACAAAGGCTTTTCCTCCCACTGCCTCTGGGAAGCAGGGCAGAAAGCTGAGGAGTTAAGAGCCTGTGGAGTAACCAGCTGCTGCAGCTGCGAGAAATACCTCTGGCAAAGCAGGCCCTGGGTTTGGTATGATTCCTTCTCTTGGCCACATTCAACCACTATATTCCTCTTGGTCTCTTGCCCACATTCAACCACTATAGCAGAGTATGTCAGCCATAGATTCTACCAGCCCCTCCACAGGACCAGATGGAAGGGGTATTAGCTCTTAAAATACCCAGAGGTCCTTGAATCAAGCTTAGTCAGAGGAGGAGAGGGGAGCAGTACACTCCTCCATTGGGAAGATGTAGAACCAAGAGCCTCTTCTACTTTGCAGTCAAGGCTTCTGGGACTGTGGGCTCTAAGGTGTGTCCATTGAATTCAGGGAAAATCAGAAAGCCACTCTCTAGGACCTCAGCTCATAAGAATCAATTCAAGATGGAGAGGACTCATCACTGCAAAAGTAAGACTCAATAATATGGTGAGAAGACCTCTGGATTAGAAGTCACAAGATCTGGTTTTGAAGACAGCTTTACCACTTATTAACTGTAGGACCCTGAGAAATCATATTTCTGCTAAAACAGTGTCCTCATCTAAAAATGCCAAGACTAAGGACTGTGAGGAACACCAAGAATGTACATATGCATGAGTGCTTTCAAAATATACCAAGTGCTATTCCAAAGTGATTATTTATACCCAGCTATGTACCTGATATCTTTGATGTATCAAAGGCATCTCCACTCAGCTTGCCCACTGCTCATGCTCATGCTCTTCCCTCTCTATCCTCACAATCATGGGCCTCTCCTGATGTTCTTGTTAGGTGCCATCAAGTTGGCTCTGACTCACAGCAACCCTACATACAACAGAACAGAACACTGCCCAGTCCTGTGCCAGCCTCACAATCCTTGCTATATCCGAGCCCATCATTGCAGCCACTGTGTCAGTGCATCTCACTGAGGGCCTTCCCCTTGTTTGCAGACCCTCCACTTTACCAAGCATGATATCCATCTCCAGGGAATGGGCCTTTCTGACAACACGACCAAAGAAGATGAGACAAAATCTGGCCATTTTCCTAGATCACCTAAACCCTAAAACCCATGTTTTGGTTACCTAGTGCTGTCTGACAGGAATATACCACAAATGAGATGGCTTTCAACAAACAGGAGTTTATTCTCTTAGAATAGGAGGCTTTGAGTCTGAGTTCAAAGTGCCAGGCCCTAGGGGCTAGATGAAAGTCCTTCAACCTTGGGCTTCAGTTCTGCCTCCTGCTCCTGGCCCACTGAAGCTGGAAGCTTTTCTTCACTCAGACAGCTGCTGGCTGCTGAGGCTGACAAACCCAAGGTCAACAAACAAAAAGGCACAGTCCCAATATTACCAAACAACACAGCAGGCCATTGATTCAAATCCACTGAAAGTCCCAAGATCGGCAGAGCATGGCAGGCTACTGAACAACTGGGCCACATGCAGGGTTCAAGCATGCCATAAGCTAAAGACGATTCTCAAAGCTGCTTCTTATATACAGGAAGCAGACCATATCGCTAAAGCAGCTACTCAGCTGCTTGTGGTAGATCCCACCATGGAGTTGATTGCCTCTCATCATGGGGAATAACTACCACCAGTCACCCAGCCACTTAACCAGGCCTAGCCAAGCTGACACACAAACTTAACTACCACATCACCTGTGGCCTTTTTCAAAACCTTGTATCAACCCATTACCACGTCTAGTCCACTGTACCTCCTAAAGGCCTCTGCACCCCACCATTACTACCCTGGTCTAAGATATCATTATCTTACAGATCTACTCCAAGAGCCTATCATCCATTCTGGTCTCCACAGGGTTCCCATTAATTCGGGTCCCCACAGGGTTCCCATTGTCCTCAATGAGGACCACATTGTTGGAGTCAAACCTAGGGGGTCATCCAGGCACCAGGCATGTGATGTCCCAAAGCCCCTCTCCACAGAGCAAATCTAATCAGTCTCCCCTACCACCACTCCTACTCCACTTACTGAATACTCTATAAGAGCATTTCACACCATGCCAATGCTCTCAGGATAAAAAGACCTCCTCTGTGGAGGCTTACAAGGTCCTTTCTTCTCTTCCCACCCTCATTCTATACTATGTCCCTCCTGCTTTCCCTGCTCCAGCCACACTGGCTTTTTGTTTCTGGTACTTACCCCATTTCCCACTGCCACATGGTTTTACACATGCCCTTCCCTCGGCCTGGAACATTTTTCCCTCCTCTTTCAACCAACTAATGCCTACTCATTTATTTTTTATTAAGGTCTAAAGTACATAAAGTGCACTAAAGTGTACAACTCAATAATAATTTTTTAATAAATGTATACACTCATGTAACTCCCACTCGGATCCAGTTCCTATATCCAGTAAGGTTCCCTCTTGTCCCTTTCTAATCAACACCCACCCCTCCTCTTCCCCCAGGTAACCACTGCTCTAACTTCTATCATAATGTGTGTTCATTCCTCAGACTACAACTGATGCAACCCTTTCTCAGGGAACCTGCCTTCAATCTTATTGAAAAAGTCTAGTCCCTTTATCATAGACAACTGTTTTACTTCAGGTTTCACATTTGTTTGTGTTATTATGTGATTCATGTCAGTCTCCCTGGGGACATGGTAAGCTCTATGAGAGGGCAAGGACTATCTCTGCTTTTGCTCACCTTTGTTTTCCCAGTGCTAGAACATACACAGTAGTGATAACAGAAAGTAGCTAATACCTATCAAGTGCTTCTTACTACCAAGTACTAATTTCAACCTCACATCAATCCTATCAAGTAGGTACCATTATTATGCGCCCATTTTACAAGTGAGAACACTGAGGCACAGAAGCTAAATAACTTGTCCAAAGTCAGTAAGTGTTAAGTGGTAGAGTCAGGATTCAAGCCCAGGCAGCCTGGCTAGTCTATATTCTTAACTATTACACTATTCTGCCTCTCACAGGCCATTTAGATTTAATGAGAAAGTGCTCTGAGATATTTTGAATGAATAAATAAAGGAATTAATAAATAAGTTGAAGAGATTCTATCAAAAGAACTAAGGAAGCCCCAAATCTCCCCAAGGAGACCAACAAATAGACAGAAGATAAGCTGTCATTTAATCACCTGCACAGGCACAAGATTATATCATCCACAAAATACGGGGACTTACCCATTTTGCCAGCAGCCATGGGAAGAAGCGCTACACTCCTGGACTCAGAGGAGCCCTCTGGTCCCTAGTGGAAGGGGCACACGAGGTAGAGAGGATTACTGTCTGGGTTCTACCACCTAAAGGAAATGTTCCCCTAGATTAAGCAAGACCCTCTGCTCTTATTCCATGCTGACACAGTAATACTCATAACTATTTAGTGTCTCAAGCTCTCCAACAGGAAATGGATATCCTGCATGGCAAAAAAATAAGAGATGTGGTTAGAAAGTGAGAGACTGGATCCACTATACATTTATAATTGGCATTTCATGTATACTTGTTTTCTAGAGCCTGACTGTCTTGAATGAATCATATTATAGAATCCAAACTAGAAAAGCAAGGCCTAGACCCTGGCACCAAGGTTACTCCATACAAAGACAGCCATCTTGTGTGACCTGACATGGGTCAGCCATCTTGTAATTGCTTCCACACCATTTACCTCATAAGCACATCCTAAAAAGCTCAGGAGGAAAACACACATGAAAAGGTTTATTTTTTCACAAGACACCGTTACCCAATGTGAAAGAAGTAGCCACCTGGCCCCAAGTTCCCTCTTAGGGGAGGTGCAGTTCCTGGAACTGCTGCATTCATGAGCCCACTATAGCCTGAGGCCTGGGCTTTCCTCACACAAAGTTCTGAGCAATGGCCAGCACCTTGGAATACTCGCCTTCCCTCTGGCGCAGGCTGGTGGGGATGGGTGTCTTAATTCGGGTCCCCACAGGGTTCCCATTGTCCTCAATGAGGACCACATTGTTGGAGTCAAACCTAGGGGTCATCCGGGCACCAGGCATGCGATGTCCCACAATGAGGGCCTTTTTCTTCTGTCCCTTGATGGCCACCAGTATCCGGTCGCCCACCTTGCCCACCCCATTCTTGGTATAGACATGGATGCAGCGAGGAGGACGGTGGTATGAGGTGTTCCCCAGGGCGCTGTTGTCCACCACACGCACCCGGGTCATCTTCTGAATGGCACTGAGACTCCCAGTGGTGCTGTGAGAGAAAGAAAAAAGTCTGAGATCTATGTCTCTCCAGGTCAAGGTGCAGAGGTCTCCTAAGAGGCCAAGGCCTGGGAGACAGTGTGCATTCACAACACAGACGCTGAGCACAATACAACCCTGGGCAGCTCATTGGGAGCCCTGACAGAAAGCCAGAAGCTTGTGAATACTTATCTGTAGGTCCTGGTGGCACAACAATTAAACGCTCAGCTGCTAACTAAAAGGTTGGTAGTTCGAACCCACCAGCAGAATCGTGGGACAAAGACCTGGTGATCTGCTCCCATAAGGATTATAGCCTAGAAAACCCTATGGGTCACTTCTACTCTGTCACATGGGGTCGTTACGAGTTGAAGCTCATTTAACTGCACACAACAACCTGTCTGAAGCAGTTAATTATTGGAAGTGAACTAAGAAATAAAAATGACGAGTTCTTACTTATCTGTACCAAAAACAGTCTCCTTGGCAATCAGTAGCTTCTGCTGTTGAGTAAAGATATCAATTTGGATGGGTGTAAAGAGAAGTTTATTCTTGTTAATAATGAACTCCATGACAGCCTTAACTCTGAAGAACTTGGAAGACTTAAAGGGATCCCTTTTATGGGCGAGGCCTCACACAATGTTTATCCTGCAAAACCTGCTCCCTGAGAACCACACACTTATTCTCAATTTGTTTTCATCTAGTATGTTTCTGGGAACCAGAAGATAAGAATAAGTAAGTATACTAAGGTAGTCCCTTGATACGACACAGCAGAAACTAGAAATAAGTCAAAGAAACACTCTTGTGTTTGAACATTTTTTCACACTAGAAAGAAATTGTTTTTCAATGAGTATCTATTAAAAGGCAGATAAACTATTAAGCAATCTGATTGAAGTGGGATTTCCACTTTCCTGAGCTGGTACCTTAAATGCTGGCATTCTCCAGGCTAACCCTAAGTCCCCTTCTCTCATTCTATATGCTTTTTTTTGGCAATTCTATCCATCCCCATTGCTTCCAACTAACAAATTCCATCTCCAGCCTTACCTCTCTCCTGCATTCTAGTCCTATATGTCCACTCCTTGAACTCTCCACAACATGTCCTACAGAGACTGCAAACTCAGTAAGGCCCAAAGTGACCTCATTGCTAGCCCGTGCAAAACTCCTCCTACTGCTGCATTTCTTATCCACACAATGGCTTCTCCAGAAACTGCAGCTCCCAAGCCGTAAGCCTCTCTCTACCAACATTCACTGGCCACCAAGTCTTACTGACATTACCTCCTAAACACCTCTGTTCTTTCTCTTTACTTCCACTGGCATTGATTCAGCAGGTCACTCTCTCACACCGAGACTACTATATTCATGTCCTAGTAGGTCCCACTGTACCTCACTCAAGCCGACAGAGCTGTCTTTAGAATACGAAAAGGATGCCCTCCCCTGCTTAGGCATGCTCCGTAGTTCCCCACTGTCCACAACTGCCAACAAGCTGGACTTGACTGACCTGCCTCCTATAGTCCATCAGCTCCTACATTCACATCTCCTCTCTATGCCCCCATAGCCAAAAATGCTGCAGTTCAAGCAGACGTGCTGCTCAGCACCCCTACCGAGGGCCTGGCCTCCTTCTCTTCTGGGAAGCCCACCTTCACTCCCCTTTTTGCCTCCACCATTTGCAGCCCTTGCCTCAGGCTTTCCAAAGCACCGTACAAATGTCTATTATTATACTTGTCACATTTTCTTGTAGTTATTTGTTTTCAAGTTTATTCCCTTGGCCAACTATGAGTTTTCTCAGAGCAGAAAATGATTCTTATTCATTTCTGTATGGTCATCCCCAGGCACAGCGCTCAATAAAGGCTTGTGGAATGAGTGCATGAATGGGGTCAAGAGACATGTTCGCCAACAGGAATGTGAGCTGTGCTCTCCGTCCCTGGCTTAGCCTCTAAAGGAGAGGTTGTCACACTTCTATCATGCTTGAGTTTTGGACAAAGAGTATGTAATGCTAGGGCAATTTTTTTTTCCCCAAATGATTGTTTTCAAAAGACAGGGTATCAGCTGGCAGGATGAAGTGCCTAGGTTCGAAGGTGAAGGACTACAGACACAGTTTACAAAGACAGTGCTCTGCACCCTACTTCGGTAAGTAGCATCTGGGGTCTTAAAAGCTTGCAAGCAGCTCTCTAAGATACAACTATTGGTCTCTTCCTGTCCAGAGCAAAGGAGAGTGAAGGAAACCAAAGACTCAAGGGAGCATTTAGTCCAAAGGGCTAATGGACCACAGGAATCAGAGTCTATGTGACCCTGAGCCAGAAGAACTAGATGGCCTGGCTACCAACTGACCACTCTGACTGGGATCACAACAAAGGGTCTGGACAGATACTGGAGGAATCCCTGACACTACAGCCCTAAGACACCCTTCTGACTTGGAACTAGAACCATTCCCAGAGACCATTTTTTCAGCAAAATAGCAGATAGGCTCACAAAATAGATGATAAGACCCAAGAAGAACATGTTCCTTAGAACAATCAATTATATGAGATCAAAAGGACAGCATTTGGATCCTCAGCCTATACGACTAAGAGACTGGAAGAACTACATGATGCCTGGCTACCAATGTCAACCACTCAGAGAGGGATCTGTGTAGGAGATCCTGGATAGAGTAGGAGAAAAATGTGGACCAAACTCAAAATCATGAAGAAAAAAAAGGGACCAGGTTTGTTGCTCTGATACAGCCTGGTGGAACCCCTGAGACTATGGTCCCCAGCTTCCCTTTAAGTCTGGAATTAAACCTACTCCTGTGGCTTCCAGCCAAATAAAAGACAGGCATACGAGCTGAACATTTACATTAGATAGAGACACTCTTTGGAGAGATCAATCATGGGAGAATAGAAGAGCTGTGTATGCACAGGGAGACAGCTCAGGAGGCAGGAGAACACGGGAGGGAAGGACACAGGGAAGAGGTGGCTATGGGGAGGAAGTGGGAGGAGAGCTGTTGCACTGTGGGAGATTACAGTTAATATCATGAGATAAAGTGTGTATGAACTGCTGTATGGAAGATATGGAAGATGAATTTGCTCTGCAAACTTTTGTCTAAATCACAATAAAATAAAAAGGGCAGCATTTGCCCAAAAGTAAAGATAAGGTGGCAGGAGGGGGTAGAAATTTTGGATGAAAGGAAATGGGGAAGCCAGGGCAGAAATGGGGAGAGTGCTGACACATAGTAGGGAATGCAACCAATGTCAAGGAACACTTTATGTACAAACTATCAAACCATCAGCAATGTGTTTTGGGTCTGTCCCTTGTTTCTCCTGCTTTATCTTGCTTCTTTGTGTGGGCTGTGATGCTCTGTTGTCTCTGAGGTACTGTGATGTTTTTGTATTTATATTTAATTGGTGATTGTATATTGGAGTGTAATTTGCTCTGTAAATTTTCACTGAAAGTATAATTAAAAAAAGTTTAAAAATAAAAGAGGGAGACTTACAGTAAGATGGCAGAATAGGCAGACAGGCGACACAGACCCTCTTCAACAAAGAAAAGAAAAACCAATTGGCAGAGATACAGAAGATAATCCTGGAGCCCTAAGCTCTGAAAGGAATTATACGGAAGTGGATTAGGCACCAACTAGTGGAAAAACCTGAACAAAAACAGTGAGTACAGAGATGGTCAGAGCTGCGGACTGTCAGCTACTCTGACAAGACCAACAGCCTGGGTATTTCCAAGTAGTGTATGGACCTCAGAATTGACCTGAAGATCAGCCCTGGTCACCAAGGGCTGCAGGGACAACTGTGCTGGTGGCCTATGACTAGGAAGGGAAACAAGGAGGGAGACGACCTGAGTCATTGACTTTCCACTGCTGGAGGGCAAAGCCATTTTGATTGCTTACACATGGCAGCCATTTTGGATATTTAAAGTGACCAAGGGTGCAGCCATTTTGAATCTTTACAAGTGGAAACCATTTTGGATTTTAAAGTGATAGCATTCTTATTTGGATTCTAGGGACCAAAGGATAGGCTCTGTTTGCCAAGGATGGCAGGGGAATACAAAGGCTAACAACAGGAAAGGAGACAGGTGGTGAGTGTATAAGTGCTGTCAATTAGCAAACAGAGGAGCACAGTACCCTGCTTGTGTAGGTAACATACAAAGAAAACAAAAATTGTGGGCAAGTCACTCCAATATACAATCACCAATTAAATATAAATACAAAAACATCACAATGCCTCAGAGACAACAGAGCATCACAGCCCACACAAAGAAGCAAGATAAAGCAGGAGAAACAAGGGACAGACACAAAACACATCGCTGAGGAAGATGCAGCATTGGAACTCCCTGACAAAGAATTGAGAACAATTTCAAAAGACAATACAAGAAAAAAAATGACAAAATAAATGAAAAATTAGAAATGATACAAATTCTATAAACAGAAATCCAGAGGATTAATACTAAATTTTCAGAAATAGATAAGACACTGAATGGGCAAAGGAGCAGAATTGAATCAATGGAAGACAGAATTAGAGAGATTGAAGGCAAATACCTGAACACTTCTTTGGAAAGAAAAAAGATCAAAACAAAATGAAGAAAGCCTAAAGTTCATGTGGGATACCATCAAAAGAAGTAACTTAAGTGCAATCAGAATTTCAGAACAGGAAGACACAAAGAAAACTGTCAAAGATTTGTTGGAAGAGAATTTCCCTGGTATGATGAAAGATGAGAATATATCCATTCAGGAAGTCCAATGAACCCAAAGCAGGATAGACCCCAAAAGAAAATCACCCAGGCATATCATCATCAATCTTACCAAAGCCAAAGACAAAGAAAGAATCATGAGAGCGGCATGGGAAAAACGAAAAGTGACCTACAAGGGGCAACCAATAAGACTAAGCTCGGCTTTCTCGAAAGACAGAAACCATGCAGACGAGAAGACAGTGGGATGGTATATATAAAACACTGAAAGAGAAAAATTTCCAACCAAGAATTATGTACCCAGTAAAACTGTCGTTCAAATATGATGGTGAAATTAGGACATTTCCAGATAAGCATAAATTAAGGGAATTTGCTAAAACCAGACCAACCTTGCAAGAGATTCTAAAGGGTGCTCTTTTTTGTTGTTGTTCTTTTTTGTTTTTTGTGATTTGGGTGAAAATTTACAGAGCAAATTCACTTTCTACACAGCAGTTCATATACACTTTGTCTCTTGACATTGACTACAATTTACCACAATGTAACAGTTCCCCTCCCACTTCCTCCCCATAGTTACCTCTTCCCTGTGTCCATCTCTCCACACACTCCTGCCCTGAGCTATCTCCCTGTGCATAAGCAGCCCTTCTTTCTCCCTTGATTGTTCTCTCCAAGGGGTGTATCTACCTCAGGTAAATGTTCAACTTCATATACCTATCTTTTGTTTGGCTGGAAGCCACAGGTGTGGGTTCAATTCCAGACCTGAAGGGCAGCTAGGGGCCATAGTCTCAGTGTTCCACCAGGCTCTATCAGACCAGCAAACCTGCCCCCCCCCCCCGCTTTTTTCTTCAAATGATTTTGAGTTTTGTTCCACATTGTTCTCCTTCTCTATCCAGGATCTCCCACATAGATCCCCCTCCAAGTGGTTCACAGTGGTAGCTGGGCACTATCTAGTTCATCTGGTCTCATAGTTATATAGGCTATAGATCGCATGGTGTACCAGTCACTAGGATTAATTGTTTCCATGAATCTTTGGTTTTCTTCATTCTTCTTTGCTCTGCATGAGGAGAGACCCATCATTGCATCTAGATGGCTGCTGCAAGCTTTTAAGATCCCAGTCGCTACTCACCAAAGTAGGAGGTGGAACAATGTTTTGTGTAGTATGTTATGCCAATTGAGCTTGATGGCTAAAGGGTGCCCTTTGGACAGAGAAGCAACAACAGCCAACAACAACTGACCATTAACACACATGATAATATAATCCAGAAACCAACCCAGCTATGGAAGTATCCAAAGTAAACAAACCTACAAGATTGTAAACAGGGAACGAGAGACATTAATTGACAAACGAGGACAACTACAAACCAAAAAGAAGGGAAAAACTGTGTCGTTACAGGACTTCTACATGGTAGGGAAGTCAAGACAACTATAAGATAGAATGCACTGTTCTAAACTTGGGAAGAAAACTATAAATCACAGGGTAACCTCAAAGACAAATGATAAACATTCACATCAAAAAAGAGGACCAGCATAAATATTCAGCAAATACTAAAACAATAGCAATGAAGGAAGTGATAACATGATTCATAAACAAAACAAGCTCAGCATAGAAATTATATGGAACAAAGAAATCAATACCACGAAAAAGCACAGAACAAAAAATGACAGCAACAAATTCATATTTGCTGATAATTACATATCTGGCAAGGGACTTATCTCTAAGATTTACAGCAGAAGAGTGGATGATGAAACTATGGTACATATACATAATGGAATGCTATGCAGCACTAAAGAATAATGTAGAGTCTGCAAAACACTGCGTAATATGGATGGACTTGGAGGACATTATGCTGAGTGACATAAGTCAATCACAGAAGGACAAATATAGTATTAGTTTGTTGTTGTGGAAGGTCAAGGAAAGGTTTATATATGGAGGGAAACTCTTTGTTGGTTACTAGGGGTGGGAGGGGAAGGGTGGGAACACTGCACACACACAAAAAAATGCACTGAGCCATGTCACTTTAGTTTTGTGTATTTCACTGTACATGTGTTTCAATAACATGCATTAAAAATAAATAAATAAATAAATAAATAAGAGGGTTTTAATACACTAGGGGAATGACAAGGTCCCAAGATGTTAGATTCAATACAAGAGTCTTGCAAAGACTGAAAAGTAGCAGCTTCTACCATACCCCATTCCCTATCCCACCTCCAGGGAACACAGTGGTTAAGGTACTTGGCTGCTAACCAGAAGGTCAGAGGTTCAAACCCATCAGCTGCTCTGCAGGAGAAAGATAAGGCTATCTACTTCCGTAAAAACTTACAGCCTTGGAAACCCTGTGGGTCACTATGAGTCAGAATCCACTTGATGGCAGTAAATTTGGTTTTGATTTGGATCCCACTTCCAACAGTATTGTCATCTCCTTACCTACCCCCACTATAATTACCTGAAGAAACCCCAGCTCAGCCTGACTCTCTGAGCTTCCCCTGGTCCCCATGTACCTCCCTGATTTTCTATTCCTTTTCCAGTCACCCCAGTCCCCAGCCCTGGCTCAAAACCCTCACTTATTACTCAATAATTTAACCCATCCTTGATTCGTTATCTTCAAATTGTTTCTAGATGAAGCTTGAAGTGAAGGGAGAAAAAACACAGTAACGCTCAGGAGGCTTTCTCAGTGGGGAAAGTTACCTGAAGCAGCGCTGGCTGATGTCTCTCCTTACATGGGCGAGGGAGCCCCAGAGCCTAGGATAGAAAGCCATGGAGATCCCGATATGGCAAATCCTGTAGGAAAAGGGGGGAAAAGATTTATTTCTAAACCGGAGTCCTTACTCAGAGCCAGCTTTCTTTATAAAAGACTGTTGGGGACTTGTGTGGGAGAGACGGCACTTCTAGCACAAGACTGTTAGTCACTAAATATAAATCTCAATGGTTAGAAGATACACAGATGATTAGACACTCTAAGGAACACTAGCGCCAGTTTTGCTGATTCACGTTCTAACTCTGGGACTGGAGGGCTGAAATGGTCCACATCAGCACCAAGCACATCTTCATCATTACATAGGTAGGAAGAAAATAGGAATCTTCTCGTATACACCCAGCCAGTGACCACTTCCCAAGTCTTCTATGTAGGAAAATTTCACACTGTCACCCCTGTTGACATTCCTGTGCCTTCTGAAACCTGAACTTCAACTCCCTGAGAGAAAGCAGATTATATAAACAACTGCCAGTTTGTTGCCCAAGTTGTCTGTGATCACATTACCTTCTCCCCAAATGTAAGAGCTAGAATACCTATAGTACAAAGCTTGCAAAGCAGAGCCAAAAGCTGCCTTTGCTAAGCCACTGACCACAGTCTACTTTTGGGTGAGTCTCCCAAACAACAATGGGACATAGAAAAAACATACACACCATACTACAGCTGAAAGTGGGTTCTAGGAGAGCAAGTTCGGGATGAAAAACCAAAAACCAACCCAGGACTCTTGACTCCAGCTTGCAGAACCTCAATCTCACCACTCTCTAACTAACATGTCAGTCCCCAGCTTTAAGGCCATGTTTAAGGAAAACTAACAGCTAGTAATTCCAGCTGTACAACATGCCTGCTCTTTCATCCAGACATTTGGCTACAGAGGGCCTCATTCAAGAGCTCTGGCAAGAAAGACTCTGAGCCTTGGCCACTGCAGTATTTACACATAACTTTGCCTTGCACAAGTTCAAAGCACCTCAGATAAGATTTTATTTTAAAAGACTGGGAAAAAAACAACCACTATTTACTTCCAAGGAATACCTAGACACTCCATACATGCTTTAACTATAGATCAGCCTCAAATCCAAATCTTACACTCTAGTGTTTTCCTTAAGACATCAGACTGTCTTATTTGGCATTGGCAAAAATACAACCATGATCAGAAAATTAAATACAAAAAAAAAGGAGGCTAACTTCTAGAACTATCAACATTTGACAGCATAGAATCAAAGACTAACACATGAGGCCAGCTTTCCTTTTTACCAGCTAAGTGACCCTGGACAAAAAACTTCTGAATTTGAGTCTCCCCTTCTGTTGCCGTTAGGTGCCATCAAGCTGGTTCCAACAAATAGCAACCCCATGTACGACCGGAAGAAACACGGCTTTGTGCTGCACCATCCTCACAATCATTGCTGTTTGAGTCCACTGGTGCAGCCACTATGTCAATCCATCTCAATAAGGGTCTTATTCTTTCTCTATTTTATGAAGCATGATGTCTTTCTCCAGGGACTGGCCCCTCCTGATAACATGTCCAAAGTACTCGCCATCCTCACTTCTAAGGAGCATTCTGGCTGTACTTCTTCCAAGACAGATTTGTTTGCTCTTTTGGCAACACCATAATTCAAAGGCATCAATTCTTACTCAGTCTTCCCTATTCATTGTCCACCTTTCGTATGCATATGAAATGAATGAAAATGCCATAGCTTGGGTCAGGTGAACCTTAGTCCTCAAAGTGACATCTTTGCTTTTTAACACTTTAAATGTCTTTTGCAGCAGAGGGCAACCTGGTGGTGCAGTGGTTACGTGCTCAGCTGCTAACTGAAAAGGTGAGAGTTCTAAACCCACCAGCCACTCTGAGGGAGAAAGATGAGGCAGTCTGCTTCTATAAAGATTTACAATCTTGGATACCCCATGGGGCAGTTCTACTCTGTCCTTTAGGGTCACTATGAGTCAGAATTGATTCGATGGCAATGGGTTTGGTTTCTTGGGTTTGTTTTTGCAGCAGATTTGCCCAATGCAATATACCATTTGATTGCTTGACTGTTGCTTTTATGGGCACTGATTGTGGATCCAAGCAAAATGAAATCCTTGACAACTTCAGTATTTTCTGTTTATCATGATGTCGCTTATGGGTCCAGCTGTAAGGATTTTTGCTTTCTTTATGTTGAGGTATAATCCATACTGAAGGCTGCAGTCTTTGATCTTCATCAGCAAGTGCTTCAAGTCATCTTCACTTTCAACAAGCAAGGTTTGTCATCTGCATATTGAAAGTTGTTAATGAGTCTTCCTCCAATCCTAATGACTGCTATATTCTTCTTCATATAGTTCAGCTTGGGAGCTCTGGTAGCATAGTGGCTAAGGCACTTGACTGCTAACCAGACGGCTGGCGGTTCAAACCCACCAGCCACTCCTCGGAAGGAAGGTTGGGCAATCCTACTTCCGTAGTGATACTGCCTCGGAAACCCAAGGAGGGGTCGCTATGAGTCAGGTCTGACTCGACGGCACATAACAACAACAACAACATAGTTCAGCTTCTCAGATATTTGCTACACAGACTGAATAGGTATGGTGAAAGGATACAACCCTGACACACACTTTTTCTGATTCTAAACCATGACTTATCTTCTGGTTCTGTTCGAACAAGTGCCTCTACATAGATCTATGTACAGCTTCCATGTAAATTAAGTGTTCTGGAATTCCTATTCTTTGCAATATCCATAATGTGTTATGACCCACATAGTAGAATGTCTTTGCAGTCAATGAAACACAGGTAAGCATCATTCTGGTATTCTCTGCTTTCAGCCAAGATCCAATCATTATACCTACTCACAAGGTAGTTATGAGGATTCAATTAGAGAGCACTTAAAATTACTCTGGTAGCATAGTGCCTAAGGCACTGGACTGCTAACCAGAAGGCTGGCAGTTCAAACCCACCAGCCACTCCTCGGAAGGAAGGTTGGGCAATCCTACTTCCGTAGTGATACTGCCTCGGAAACCCAAGGAGGGGTCGCTATGAGTCAGGGCCGACTCGACGGCAAATAACAACAACAACAACAACAACCATCATAATCATCTAGTCATATCTCATTTCATGGATCAGGAAACCAAGAAACAGAGAAATTCAATGACATGTTTAAACTGTTGTTGTTGTCATGTGCTGTGGAGTCATTCCCGACTCATAGCGACCCCTCCTTGGGTTTCTGAGGCAGTATCACTACGGAAGTAGATTGCCCAATCTTTCTTCTGAGGAGTGGCTGGTGGGTTTGAACTGCCAGCCTTCTGGTTAGTAGTGCCTTAGGCACTACGCCACCAGAACTCCCCTATGTTTAAACTAGTCACAACTAAACCCCTCACAAATAGGCACAGAATCAGAAGCGGACCCAGCTTCTAGTCCAAGGGTCTTTCCACCACCCTTGGCAGCCCTGCACCACTATACAAAGCTCCTTTCCCCCAAAGTTGCTCAGTGTGTGACACAACTTTAAGAGCTACTGGTCTCTTTCTGTTTCCTTTCTCTATGTAATCATTTATTAAAGCCATAACACATCAAGTGCTGGGCTAAGTGCTTTACATGTACCATCTAATTTGAGTCGCACAAAAACTTTATGAAATGGGTATTATTTTTAGCCTCATTTTCTACATGAGGAAATGAGGCCCCCAGAGGTAAAATAATTTGCCCAAGGTCACACACTGTTATGGATTTAATTGTGTACCCCTCCAAAAAAATGTGTTATAAAATTATAATCTTTGTACCTATCCTATGGTTATAATCCCATTTGGGAATGGGTTGTCTTTGTTATGTTAATCAGGTAGGATTAGTGTAGGGAATATTTTGAGTCAATCTCTGTTGAAATGTAAAAGAGATTAAATGCAAACTAGAAGCAGAGATGAGGTAGGACAGATGTCAAGACGCATGGAAATCTCCCAGGAATCAGGAAGCAGAAGCTAAAGAGACAAGGAAGGACTTTCCTCCAGAGCTGACAGAGAAAGAAAGCCTTCTCCTAGAGCCAACACCCTGAATTTAGACATCCAGCCTCCTAAACTGTGAGAAAATTCATTTGTTTGTTAAAGCCATCCACTTGTGGTATTTCTGTTACAGCAGCACTGGAGAACTGAGACACATAGCCAGGAGTGACAAAGCTGAAATCTGAGCCCCAGCCGTCTGCTTCCAGAACCCTTGCTCTCAATCAACAGCGTAAAGTTGGTGATTTTCATTTAAATATTGATTATTTTTTCCAACTGTTAAATCATTCTCAATCCATCAAGAATACTCGGACATCCCAGGTACATTCAACACAATGCTCCGCTGAATCAACTGAAATGTACACAAACACCAGGTGAAAATCATTCACTTTAATCAAACTTGAGTTTTGAAGACAATTTGTAATGTAGGTGGCACAAAGTGCTCCACATTCTGAGCAATAAATAAAAACTGGCTTAAAAAAAAAAACAAAAAACCTCAGAAAACAGCCCTTCTGGTCTAGGCTGCAGTTTCCTTAAATCCCAGCCAAGATTTCTCATGAGAGCCTGGGAGAAAAGAGGCTGCTCAGCTTCTCCTCAGCACCCTCCAGATTAACCCAGCACCACCCACATTCCCTCTCCTGGGAGTTGCAACATCCTGCCTCTCCACATTTGCTTGGCTTCCTCCAGAACACTGATGTTAGTCCAAGAACTACAGAAGTGTCTGGGGGCTTCCCAGAACTCTCCTGACTTGAGTACCGTAGAAAACCCCACCTCAAGGCACCTCCCTAAAATCTGCAGGGCTGTCTATGCACAGAAACAGAGCCTTCCCAAAGCCAGGCCTCCTCTTGGGGCTTTGCTCACAAGCCTATGCTCATCTCCACCCAGCCAAATCTGGTGACCCAGCTCCAAACACAACTTCCACGAGAAGACTGTGTACAAGTGCGGCTTCAGTCCCACCCATCCTACACAACAAGGGCACACAGATCTCCTCTCGCTGCTCCAACCTTCACAGTCCAGACTCAGACACTGAACAGATTTGGAACTTTTTTTTTTTTTGAGATAAGGCTGATATCCCTCAACA